CTATCTATATGGTGATGGAAGGAGTAGAGAGGAGAACAAATAAAAAAAATTACCACACGTGTCTCGAAAAAAAGGTCAAGGATAACCGGTAAGTACGTAGGAATATTTTTAATACGTTTACGACAAGAGAAACGTTTCACCGTCGGAAACTGGAATGTGACCAAACAACTTATAACAACTACTAATAAATTGTTTAAAAACTCATGAAAATCGATGACCGATCGTCAATCAGTGATGGTCAAATAATTTTGTCATAATGGGGTGGGGATGAGACTGATTTTTCAACATAAACTTTAATCATTGAAAAAAAAATCATAACTTAAAGACTTAATTTCACTTAATTAAATAATTTTACTAATTTTAGTTAGTACAAACTGTAAAAATATGTTAATAAATAACAAATGGTAAACTATTGTTGTTGGCAACAGCAAAGTAGTACGTTATTTTAGATTTAGACATAATAAACACTTAATATCTTATTAGCACAAATAATAAAAACAAAAGCAGAATACAAAACGTCAATCGATGAGCTAAAAATTTACGTATTCGTGTCGTATACAGTCTAACGCAAACCTGTCATCTGTCGAGCATTTATATGTATATATATTAGGTCATTCCTATTAATTCAATTGCGATTAAGTATTATCTTAACGATTTAACTTCAATAATAAAGTATAGCAGTAATCGTGACTATAATCGTAAACGTCTGAGAAAATCAGTTACATTTTAGTTCGTGATATGAGATACATTATTCTACAGTTAAAATACTTAAAGCATTATGTTAGCCATACATTTTTATTCGATTGTTCAATCAGAAGGAAATACCATAGCTTTTTTAAAGGAAATATGACTTATTGAAATCAACACTCCTTGTGTTTACCGTGGTTCGTAAACTAAATTCTATACTTGAAAAGAATGAACTTTTAGTTTTTAATACATATTTATTGACATATTATACTGTAATATACTAATTTACCGACATATTATAATATATTAATGCATATTTTTATATAAACATGTATGGTAGATGGCATATAAAGAAGCGAGTGGTATATGGCATACAACAAGAATACCAAAATTTAAATTATAATAATAGCAGATGATATTTTATCAATATTGTCCCGACAATGTCGGTTGATCGAGTTTCTACTATACGTAGATTTATAAACATTTTCACCTTCCGCGTAATATGTGAAGTACCGTTTTACTGGATTATCACTACCATAGGGGTTACTAGACCCTCTTGGCAGGGGGGGTAGGAAATACTTTAAGTAAAATATTAACACTATTTTGTCTAAATCTTTAAATTAGCAATACTATAAAAAAAGTATTTTATTGATAACAATTTTAACTTATTTCAAATAAAATTATTTTGTAAAATGAATAATACACTTACAAATACCTACATTTATACTATTTTATCTTATACAATTTTAAAATAATAACTTACCACAATTTACCTGTGATAGTTCTCATAGGCGGACTCAGAATGATACATTTTAGTGTGCCCTGTCATTTTTTGGTTATTTTTCAAAATATAAAGGGGAGGTTATAAGTACTTACGTATAGACTGTGTTATGATTTAAATTCTAAAAATAAAGGCTTCGTTAATGATGTAAAATAGCGATTGCTAAAATATACACGTAATTATAATTTCAAACTTATTCTGAACACTTGCAATATTACTTACAAAAACTAAAATTTAATTAATGTGTATGCACATATATTCTCAATTGTAATTATTTGATTTTTTTTTATTCGCATTATTCACATTAGGGTGTGCCAAGACACACCCGGCACGCCCTGTAGAGCTGCCTACGATGGTTCTTGTATGAAAAAGTCGTATAAAGTTTTTATTTTTTTACTTAGATTTGAGTTCATAATTTTTATTATAATTAGTATTATCCAAAAAACTCAATACTAAATAAAATACACACTTTAAATCAAAGTATAAAATCATACAAAACGTTTGTGATACAGATAATAATAAAGTAATATTATTGGTTCATAATTTGTCAATGATAAAAATAAATTATAATAATATTGAAATTGTTGACGCAAAAAATCTTATCAGCATATTTACATGAATAGTTCTACAATTGTAGATAATTATATTATTACTTACAACTATGCAGACTCTAAATAAGCATGTGATATGAGGGGTTAACAACCAATATTTGAAATGTATAGTGAGAGGAAAAAACTCGCAGGGGGGGCAGCCACCTACCTTGTCCCTCCCGTAGTACCGCCTATGATCACAATTCATATTTTTCGGCATAGTTATTACCAGTGATGTATAGGTAAATATATTTATGGGTATGCGAAGAAATGAGGAAGAGACGGTTAGAACGGTGCTGAAATGGAGACCTACGGGAAAGAGGCCTCGCGGAAGGCCCAGAAAAAGATAATTGGATACAGTGGAAAAAGACCTCAAGAAAATAGGAGTACAAGAATGGAAGACAATAGTTCATAACAGAGAGGAATGGAGACAGATCGTGATGGTGGCAAAAACTCTTCAAGAGTAATAAATGCCAGCCAAAGAAGAAAGAAGAATTTATGGGTATATGCACTAATAAAATATGAATAATATACAATAATATAATAATAATAATAATAATTATAATATAATAGTATAATATAAATATAATATACATTGTATATTAATTCTAAAAAAATGTTATCGCTTCGCTCGACAAATTTTTTCTCGCTACGCTCGAATAAATTATATTAATCCCTTACATGTTTATAACTTCTAATAAGACTAAATTGCAAAATTACAAGATACACATTTTCCATGCGTTATAAATTGCTTGATGCAGATTTATGAACCATGAGCTGAATGTCCGTACTCCATATTATATTTAATAACATCCATTTTTCAAAATGTTATTTACTAAATTGAACTTAAAATACATTAAATTTCAATCAAACTGTAAGTTTAAACTGTAATCTTCAACATAAAAATATTTCCAATGAACTATTAAATAAGTTTTGTTTTGTTTACGAGTTATTTTAGGAACGTATACTAAAAAAATAATATTTTGTATGAAGTATACGCCGAAAATCAAAAATCTGCTGACGGGTATTCGGCGCATACCCGCGTATACGTACCAATACACTCCTGGTTATTACTTAAGTACAAAATAATATTAAATAATGTAAATACTTAATAATTGAATCAACTTAGAATGTTCACAATTTCAGGTATAAACAACATTTAGTTGTTAGTTCGATTCCAAAACGTAAAAAAGTACGTAAGATTGATAAAATATAAGTCCAGTTATAATATTGTTTATCTGTGTATTACTTTACCGTCAATAAAGCAAGTACATAAATGTATAAATGTATAAATGTATAAGTGTATATTTACTGAATGTCAACTAGAAACCACAATACCATAATTTGTTACTCTATTGTACAGACGATCATAATGATCATTGTATTATTGATGGTAGCAATAATCTGATAAGGTAATAATATTATATTAATATCAAAAACATCGAAAGAACGTAAAACTTGAGAGGACACCACAAATTGTCCACATTCGCATGCGTTGTCTCCGTTTTAAAAACGTTCACATATAGGAGTGCTATAATGAGAAAAATACTGTAAAACGTTTTTCTGATTATATGTTCAAGAACGTATTATTTCTAAACGTTATTCTGGTTAAATGTACAAGATCTAATAACTTAATAATGTTAATTAGGTATATCAATCATGAACATTTTTTTGACACTTCTATCTTAATTTTCGAAAAACATAAACGTTTTAAATGTTTTTTTAATAATATATTCGGTTGACCATTTAATTTACAACATTATAACTATAACCGTTTTTTGAACCTAACTTAATTTAACGTTTATCGCAAATGACGAATTCAAAAACGAATTATGGAGCCGAAGCAATAATTAACGGTTAAGGTCAAACTGTCCTGAAGTATTATTATACTTGTAAATTACGATCGGCTTCGAATTATGGTAAACATTTTTAATCGGGTACAAATAAAATAAAATCGACTAATAAAATAAATAATGAGTTGTGATTTTATTGAATATGTAAATAGCTGATGATGAATTTTTAATTATCGAAACCATTCGTACTGTATATGTATAAAAATACTCCAGGCTAAGGATTTATTTATTTATTTATTACTACATAAAAAATATTTGTTTATTTATTTACATATATATTAGTTTACGAGTATTAATCATTAACTGATTTTTAATATTTATTTAATTAATGATTATTTTATTGTTGCTATTTATTTTGATTTTACTCACAAGATCCAAAAGTATATTCAATTTTTACACATAATACATTACGTCAAATACGATACAAACACAATACATACTTATGTAAGTATCGAAAACGTTCGTGTCGAAACCGTCATCGTACCCAGAGCAGGCCTTATGGGGAGATGGGCGAACAGTGGGCGTCGCGCTGGGCAGGACATACTACGAATCAGGTGTATCACTTTATCCAAAAACAATCTTAAATTATATTGTCGCCGGAAAAGGGTTGTTTATGGTTACCGCCGACGGAAATCAAGACATACCAAAGACCATAAAGTTCATAAAAATAGATAAAAAAAATACACGGTTGCCCTACGTCCATTAGGCCGGTACTGAAATGTAACGCCGAGACGATGAGCACCGGTTTCGCCGAACTCGTGATGATACCGGTCCCCGGACCGTCCGCTCGCGTAGGCGCACGACAATGCGACAACCGGTTGCCATCGAATTAGTCGGCGCACAGACCATCAACCGGTTGCTATTATCACGGCTGGTGTGAGCGGGTGATCACGAATGATCGTTATCAACCGTGACGACCCGGGGTCGTGAGAGATAATGGATTCTTCGTCCGAGCGTGGAGCGACCACGGTCCGCGATCCAACAACACTTGTACAATACGTGACGGTGTACGCCGCCCGGTTTCGTACAACACCGAACGCCCCCGTAGTTACGACCACGGGTTTAGGTTGTTAAGCACCAGGTGTTCGTTTTCGGTTCGCCAGGATGTGGCAGCGGTACTACCCCCAGAGTGCACAATGTCGCGACGTCGCGTGCGTCACACAACCAACTGCTGAACGTGGTCCCTCGAGCGGCGTGGAGGGGTGCCTCGTCTCGACGACAGTGGTCCGAAGAGGCTGGAACCCGCGAGATAACCTTTAACGCCGTTCTGACGACCGCGCAAACAGGTCTCGCGTTTCTATTGTTCCTCAGCAGCAGCACCACTACGCGGTGCGAGTCGACTGTTATTTGTTTGCCGGTCACGGGTGCGCGCAGTCCAGCCTACACGTCGTGCTCTCCGCCGTTCGCCGCCGTAACAGGTAAGTGTTTCCACCGGTTTCCATTCCACACGTCTGTTACCGTATTTTTTTTTTTTTTTTCGTCGTGCGGGCCTATTTTTGGCTATTCTTCCGGTTTTCCAGCCGTCACCGTTAATATATATTTTTTTCTCAAACAATCGCTGTACGTTCGCACTTGCTCAGATTTCCCGTCTACACGGATCGGTTCCGCGTTGGCCGGTACATATTTTATCGTTCTACATCGTCGTGACGACTTATAGACGGCGTGGTTGACCCCGCGCTCGTAAACACGGTTGACGAGAAGATTTTAATAAAGTTTTTTTTTTCTTTTCTAGTCATTTAACGATTGCCGTTCATGAGTTCACAATTCGTCGAAGGGTGGACGATCGCCCAGACTTTGGGAGAAGGCTCCTTTGGCGAGTAAGTGTTCTTCGAATATCACCGGCAGGAGCGGATTGACAATTATTTTCTGTCCAGAAAATATGAAACAAACCGGCCCATGAACCGCAAATTAAACTATTTTACCCCTCCTACTCCCAAAAAATACTTTATTTTGCATTAATTTCAAAATTTGTTTAGTTTCCACCCCTAAATTATTAAAATTTACAAACTTTACTATAATTATAGCTATAATAGTTTTGGGTAAGTCACATGATTAATCAATTACAACTTGAGCTTGAAGTTTGATCTTAATGCATCTTTAAATATATATTTATTTGTTTAATGATTTTTATTTATTTTACAAAATAAAACTTTTTTTTTGGTAATTATATAATAATTTAGAGCAGCCCAAACAAGGACCGGCCCATTGGGAAGACTCCCGATTTCCCGATAGGCCAATCCGATTCTGATCACCGGTTATAATCTTGTTTTTCATCATCTTGGTTGTTTTGTTTCAGGGTAAAACTCCTAATCAACAGCGCGCTGAATAGCGTCGTGGCCATGAAAACGGTCAATTTGAGACTCCATTCGGATGTCTTAATGGAGGTGAAAAAAGAAGCAGCCATACACAGCCGATTAAAACATCCGAACATTGTACAATATTATGGACAACGCCAGACCTCAGACTATTATTATATATTTCTGGAATATGCATCTGGAGGTGAACTATTCGACAAGATCGGTGAGTAAACTATATCATTAATTCACCGATATGCTACTAGTTAAATAATTAATATTAATTTTAAAATTAGAACCTGGTGTTGGGATGTCACAGTCCGATGCTAGAAAATATTTCAAAGACCTAATAAATGGAGTTGTATGTTTATTATTTATTGGAATAATTTTCTTCTTAATTTATGAATAATTTATGTAATTATTTTATTAGAATTACTTACACAGTAATGGTATTGCACATAGAGATTTGAAACCAGAAAATTTATTACTGGACGAACAAGGAAATTTGAAAATTAGTGATTTTGGATTGGCTACAATGTTTTTATGCGGTGGAAAAGTATGTACATTATAAATTTTTTTTTAGTGATTAAAAACTATTGACTTTCTTGAATGATTAACTTTTGCACATTAATATCAAGTTTATATAATAATTATATGTAACTTTTCTTCTGTGAACATGATTTCCATATAATTTCCAGAGAGTAGTTAGTACTGTGTTTTAGTCATCATATGTTAAAACACATATACTAACAGATAAATTAACTATGTACAAATAAAATAGTATTATACAAACAATGTAAATATCTGTATCTGTAACTCAAATACATTTTAATTAATACATTTTTATCATTATTGTACCATTATATAATAATGTTATCAATACATTTCCTATAAGCCTTTAGTTTATTCAAGAAAGTTATTCAACAATCCAACTAACCTTTTATAATATTTTGGAAATAGCGACGTAAATTGGAAAAAAATTGCGGCACTCGTCCATATGTGGCCCCAGAAGTTCTTTCTCAAGTACCTTTTCAAGCTGAACCTTCAGATATTTGGTCATGTGCTATTGTGCTGATTACTATGCTTTCTGGAGGTGATTGTTCTAAATTTATTATTATATTCTAAGTCATATGTATTGTTGAATATAATAATGGAATAATGTGTCGGTGTTGATCTCTTTGGTGCATTAGCTGTTCGTTAACATTTTTCAACTCGCACAGTTTTTGTACCAAAGTTATTGACACTCGATATTGCATCAAATAATTCCATAATTTTATATGATTGTTTCAAATATTTGCTTTAGATTATAAGTTTTTAAATATTGTACAAATTAATTTTTAAATTTAATTAAATTTTAGATTTTAAGATGTACATTGCAACATTCATATAAGTATATAAAATTAAAAATTATTAATATTTTTGTTAAGAACTACCTTGGGAAGTACCGTGTGATTATGATAACGATTATAAATTGTGGAAAACTAATGATTATGCCAGTCATTCGCCGTGGAGCAGATTAAATACAATGGCCTTATCTCTTGTGCGAAAGATATTAATACCGATAGCATCTAAAAGATATGACATAAAAAAAATCCAATCACATCCCTGGTTCAATCAATCAAAAACTAGTGGTATATTTTTATTTTATTCGAATCAATTACTTAATACAAAATGTCTAACATCTTTAGGTATCCATATTTTGAGCTATTAAACTTCTTACATGAGCTTTTGATTCGTCAAATGTAGTGCAATAAGTTTTTTTTATTATTATTTATCAATTATCCCTTTAAAATATAAAACAGGTGTTTCTGCTTGGTCTGGCGGAGACTTAGATGCCATTCGCCCATGTTTTTCTCAACCTGCTCCAACACCCATGCCATTTTCTACATCTGTTTTGCCTCAGGAATCTGAAATACATTCATTTTCTCAACCCACTCAAGCAAATGATTTATTGTTATCTTCTCAACTTTTGACATCACAAACAACTTCAACTCCAAGTGTAATTTAATTATTTTAAATAAGAAAAAAATGAATTGTGTATTTTCTTAAATTATATACTATTTCAGAACTCTATGCAGAAATTAGTAAAGAGAATGACAAGGTTTATTGTTTGTAAAACACCTGAAGAAGCTTTAACCAATTTATCACAATATCTTGATGATTTGGGCTATACATGGAAATTAAATTCATCTAGTGTGGTAAAATTGTATACATTTATATTTATAAGAATAGAAATAATTAATATTACTTTGTCTCACAGATTACAATAACTACTACTAACCAACGCCTGGTATTCAAATCAAGTATATTTCCAATGAATCATCAAACCCTGATTGACTTCAGATTATCAAGAGGTTGCGGCTTAGAATTTAAGAGACATTTTATTATCATCAAAAATGCAATGTCTAAAATTATTTTTAAAAATACATTAATGGGGTCTGTTGCTTTGACAACAAATTCTGAACCATGAATTGTTCCTAATATTTTAAGAACAATTTAAGACTGATGTACAATAAATAAATCATTTATTATGTTCCCTATGTTTGACAGTGATGTATAATATGTAATTGTTAGTTATATTTTTATATTTTAAGAATTTTTGCAGGTGCCCTGAGAATTTTTTTTTTTGTCATTTAAAGCGTATTAAAAGGAAATTTTAATACATCTATTAGTATTAAATTAATTGAATATATTTATTACAAATTGATCAATATCTCTAGATCTTTTTTTTTTTTTTTTTACTTAAATTTTATTTATGTGTAATTTTTTAAATTTAATTTAATTTATTAAAGATGTTTATTTTAAATATTTATGTTATTCACTCATTTAGTCAAATATTATTGTAGTGCTTTAGTTTGTTATAAAAACTCTATTAATAAAGCGCACTATTAGAATAATGATAACCATATTATTTTATAAAATCTAAAAATTTGGTAACCAATGAAATTATTTCCTCTGTAACATAAAATAGATTGTACGTTTTTATTATAACAAATAAACAGTGACAATTTGTCTTGTCTTAAACTATTCCCTTGATTGATATACTTGTCAATTATTCATTAGTTGTATGCTTTTCCAAGATTATCAATGGGAGTGACATAAGACATTCATTAACTTAAGAAGTATATGATTATTCATCTCAATTTTCATAATCTATCTCTGATGTATTTAAAAATAAGATATAGGTTTAATATATACCACATCCTTATCCTTTATACATTTCTTGTTAAAATGTACAGCTTCTTAAGCTTATAAGACGTTATACAGTAGTCTCACTGATCTGGACATCCAGATAATCCGGATAGCTAATATTTTATATTTCGTACTTTAGTACATATGTATACATACATTTACATAAATATTATACAAAAATTATTTATGTCAATGTCAATCATTATATAATATAAGACGTATATTATTGATACATAATTGATAAAATATTTTTAGATTCAAATGTATTTAAAGAATAATTGTAGATACCTCTACGATAAATAGTTTCTTACAAGTTAACAGGTTTTTCTAGTGAGTTCAGTTTTTTATAATTTTCTGTATAGTTGTATTCATATAATACATATAATGTGTAATGTAAAAAAAAAAGTCCAATACTGTGAAAAAGACTTGTACATGTGTAAATATTTACTTTTTTAAATAGTTAAGCTACAATATAGATTCTTACAATGTACAAATGTATGTTAGGTACTATACACTGTGTTTTATCAGAAAATTACTTTTTAAACAAATAAAAAATATCTCTATCTCAGTACCGAATCTGTAGATTATAGACAAATTTATAGAAAATCAAGCAGAAATGAGTAAATATATACACAATTTTATCAATACGAATTACAACTAATAATGACAGCAATCATTAAAATTATACTGATTCAATTAATTAAGAAGCCCAAATTGTTCAATTCCACTCAACATATTAACCGATTGTTACCTACTGATCATCGATAACAACACAATCTGTAGAGCCATTATTATTATAAATATAATAGGTTGAAAAAAAATTAACAATATTGTACCTACAACCTTCTAAGTTCTATCTTAATTGTATTTAACAATATAATATTTATAGGTAACAATACTACGTCTTATGCTGTATAAAACATTATAGTTACTGTTATTATGAATATTTATTGAATGGGTCCAAATTAAAAACAGTGGCCCCGACATTAAAGGGCCCAGTCGGGCCTTCATTGGCGTTCGCCACTCGAGTCGATTCGCCCCAGATCACACAAATTAATACTATGCATTTTACCGTCGCACCATTGGTCGTAAGTTCTACAGAATGCTTCAAAATATTCAATCAACACCAAAAAAAAATTAACCAGTTTTACATTTTTGTTTTTCGTAAATCTTTCGCAAAAATGTCACCGCGAAATGTCCTAGATTCGACAGAACACGTAAACGATTATTATTATAATTATTATTTCAATGAATCAAAGTGCCTACAGGTACACCGATTAAAGATGATAACCGAGAACATCGTTAAAATACAAAATTTTGATAACACGAAACTCGACAAAAATTACAAAAATTATTATTATTTATTAAAATTATCTGCGTAAGCGATACAAAGTGCACTGATAATAGACAGCGATTTAGTGCAACCCGTAATAATGTAAATATTATTGCAGATCCCGCGGTACAGCCAGCGAGACGCATAGAATCGTACGAACAATAACTGTCGACCGGAAACCCAACCCAATGGTAGAATGTGCAAAACGAATCGTACGGAAATTAAATGTGATCTGCGTTTCGTACGCACGTCAAAACAAAAAGAACCACAGTCCCGCGGCGCAGTTGACACGTTTCCGTAATGTTACTCGCGTAAACGTACAAGATCGTACTCATCGTAACTGTTTATCGATTATAGAACTGATTTTTTGTACGAAGATTAACGTTTGTTGGTCAACATTTAGTTGATTTTAACCGTTCAAAGATGTTAAGAATAATTTCACGTCCACTACCAAGGCAGTCCGTAGAAATTTTCACGGGGGGGGGGCAGTTAATACCACAATTGTATGTGGACCTTAAAGTGACCTACTCTATGAAATGGACCTCCTCCAATCATGATTAAAACCAAATACCGAATAGTGATGTTGAAAATTGACAAACAATTTTGTGTCACCTTATTAGTTTTCCTTATCGCCCTCCAAGACTGCTATTTAAAAAGCAAATAAACGCAATAAATTGCTATACAAATCATTATCTAAAGGAGCGGGCAGACTTGTCCATTACCTATTCAAATTGTACATGATACCGTTGATTATAAATACCGGTAACCATAATCAATGATGATACTAAAAAATAATTGATAACAATATGATAATACATTATCTATCAAAACACTTAGGTACCCACCTTATTTTGTCTTAATTTTTTCAGTTCTGTTGTGGCATAAAGGCACAATATGTTAACAATGCTAAAAAAATAATGATCATGGCCATGTGATCTCCAAAAATATGTACTTGTAGGATGAGACTAAAGTATTAATGATTTAACATTTAAATACTTTTTCTCTGCATTTTCATTATTAAATAATTTTGCATTTTTATGAAAGTTTCGATTTTTTTTTCAAATAATTATTTAACTTTAATAATAAATTGACTGCATAAATAATGAAACCGTATTAGAAATGTTTCTTGACTACCTCCTACTCAGACATAAAATTTTAAATTTATAAAACATGATAACATATATTTTATATACTATATATTAACATATATTCATGATCAAAATTATTTTTTGTTAGTAAATAAGTACAATTAGAACAACCAATGTTGTTCTCATACCACTTGTAATATATATATATATATATATATATATCATACTCATATGCTATGGTGAAGCTCTACCACTTTTGATAAAAAAAATCACTTAACGATAAATAAATATTTATGTACGTATATAAGTTATAATTTGGAATATTCAGCATAAGATATTAAACAGCATATAGAAACAACTATAATTATAGGTAAGTCGATCAACTTAACAGATCATATATGACAAATGAGTATCTATTCTTACCTTAATGTGTGGTATTAATGACTTGTTAACATAAAACTTACATTAGATAAAAATGATCGGCTTATCCATCTTTAAAATTATGAGTACCATTAATTAAGATTTATAAGTAGAAAGTAATATGAAGATTAGAAAAAATTATACATGCATGAAGTTTTACCAAAATCAAAAACATATTCCTTCTTTAAAATATAAAATAAACAAATGAACAAATTTGTAATGCAGTTTAATAAAGTTCAAATAATTGTACTATGGGTATAAAAATGTTAAACACTATAGTAGTAAATAAGTTGTAAAATAATAAAAATTAAATTAAATTAAAAATTACTAAATGATTAATATTTATAAATTAACATATAAATGTTGCTATAATTATTTTTTAATAAAAGGCAATTTTTTTAAAAAAAAAAAAAAAAAACATATAAATGAATGAACAAATATTTTATATATAGAAATAAATAAATATATACTTAGTCTGGAGTATTATTATATTTGTAAAGTACGGTTGGTTTCAAATTAAAAACTATGTCTAATAAGAACTAATTTTAAAAAATCTCTTCTATAAAAAAAAATATAAAACAACCAATTTTTCTCATTTTATTCCTTCCTTTACTTTTTTATATTCAACAATGTTATTTTGTTGCAACTATACATATTGATGCTACAAAATATCAGTTAAGCTTTACGTATTGATTAACGTATCGATTTAATGCATTGCATAGAACATTGCACTGTAGGTTGAATATTCAGTTGCATTTTAATGTTTTTATTTGAGTATAATAGTTCAATAAATGCCAACTAATAATAAATACAAGACAACTAACACGATTTAAGTATGGAATTATAATATATTTGAACACCAAACTACAACAACTACTGTAACTACATACTATTACTAATCTAGGTTTTTTTTTTTAGAATACTAAGTTACATTTTTTTCTTTTTCAAGTTAATCATATGTAATATATTATTAACACAAAAACAATTACATTTCACATATATATTTTATATTTTGATAATAACTCTTGATTTTATTTTAAAAGTATAATATGAAAATACATAAAATGGCACATATAAGTTTACTTATAAATTAAAATTAACATTTTATTAGGATGTATCTTAAAATAAAATATATTTGCAGTTAAATGGCATGTGTACAACGAAGATTGAATACTATAAATTCTAAATAATAAAGTTATAAATGTTACTTTGTTGAAAAATAACACTGACCATGTATTATAATTATCATTAAAAAAATTAATTGTTACAAATATATTTTGGTATTGATAAAAAAGTTTAGTTTAATATTAAATTGATAATATGAAAACATAAAATGTGGTATGTAAGAATATAAAATTACATATAAATGAATGATAATATTTCATCAGGATATTTCTTATGGTTAAAAAAAATACATGAAATGTTTTTAGTAATACATATGAAAACTACAAATAAAAAAAAAAAGCACAATTTTCTGAATTGAGCAAATTTTTTTATAGTTGTAATTATTTGTAGCATAAATATATGATTACCTACATTTAAAAATATGGACTACTTTTTTTAGAAACAAAGTAAATAAAAAATAAAAAAAATAAATACATTAATATAAATAACGTAAAATTATTAAATTGTCAGTTGAAAAACCTTATATATTCTGGAGTCCATTATAATAATTTAGTAGTTTTTTTTTTTTAGTCGGAAAACTAAAGTAAGTTAATAGGTAAATGTATATTGTACTTTATGGTAAAATAAAAGGTAAGATACTCATTCATAATCATGTCTAGTTTTTCTCACTCCTGTATTATCATTACATTTAAACATTTTCCTACTACTCAAATGCATTGTTCTGATAAAATCAATAGTTGTATAAATTGGTGTTTCAGCAGGAGTAGGTGGTTTTTTAACCGGGTTGTTGCAAGCTACTATTTCCACTTCAGTGTATGTAAGATTGTCCTTAGATAATTCATCAGAGTTAGTAGATTGGAGATCATTGTTGTCTTCGTGGTTGTTGAACATGTTTACATATATATTTTGTGGTTGAGTTATAGAATCTGAATCCAGCGAAAGATATGGTGATTGGCTGTTATTAATCGACCCACTGATATTACTTATACCACTAAAACTGATTTCATCATAAATCTTGTCAAATGCATTTCTTTGAGTGAACGACGGACGACAAATATTATGTAACTCAAGAGACATATCTGATGCCAAATTTGTTAAATTGTTGATCTAAAATATACAATAAAAATATTTATGGTACTTATTGTTCATTTATAAAATATTTAAATTATAATTTTTATTAATTAATAATTTGATGTGGTTAATATTTGTTTTATTTCAGTTAAAAAAAATTATTAAGAATGGTTTTTGAGTAAAATAATTGGTTTGAAATCAAGGCAATGAAAATGTTTTTTTTTTTTTTTAAACAACTTGATAGCTGGTAAATAGGTGATTCAATTAGTGTTATAACTACATAAAGAGCAATACAATTTAGAAAATAAGTTAATTTTAATTAAGTACCTACACTTAAATACAAAAAACAAGTTATAAATGGTTTATTTATTTCTATGTATAGGCATCTATGCCTACAGTAACATGAAATACCTGTAATGCTTTTTTGAAAGTATTGAAAACAAGCTTAGCATCTTTACATCTAAATGCAAATATTCCTTGACCATAAACAGATGAACGGCCAACTTCAATGCAGAACATGACGCCTTCATATCCGTAACGTCGGATTGTTTTCAATGGCCAAACCAGTGAATCCCTTTCATTTGGCTTGTGCAAAATCAAATCGCGTTCGGTGATTTCAATATGAATTCGGCTAGTTTCAACACCATTGCTATCAACGTTTGAAACCTATAGAATGTTAAAAATAATCGACAAAGTACTTTCAGACGCGTACAAAATATCTTATTGTAATAAAATTAAAAAATAAAAAACCAAAATTACTAGATCCTACTTTGAATACAGAAGGTGTGGAGGTTGTCTCTTGTTTACTATGCACGCAGCCCATGTTGATAGATGAAAAATAATTGACGAACAGATGGAGAGCAAAAGACGTCGGAAACTCTATCGGTAACGTTGCCGGTAGAACGACTACTGTCCAATTGCGTGAGGAACGGATTCGTCCGTCAGGAATGAAAAGAAAAACCCCCTACCACATGCCCGCGCAGGACTGACGAGCGTCGACTCCCGCGGGCTCGGGGTGCGCCAAGGGTTATCAGTCGAGCAATAGAATCGATCTTATCAATATGGTAAGTACGCACGGCCCCCGTCCTGCCGGTAATTTGAATTTGTATGGAAACCGCGTTTATTGAAATAAAACACAATAATACCCATACAGATAAGTAAAAGAAAAAAATCTTTTATCGGTGATAATAATAAATCGTGTTATAGTTAAGACTCGGACCGATAAAAGTATATTTCTGGCCTATGATAATAATAAAACTAATCGTTTTGTACGTGTGCGTTTCGTCAAGTAACATAAATTAAAATCGTAATCGGCTTGCAATGATAGCAATGATCAACTCGCGTCAGTCTGTCAATAAACTATTATGACTTTGTATACTGTACGTTATTTATTATTTTATTTCAAAATATTAATAATTGTCCGTTTGCTGCCAACGCATGGTAAACATTGATTACTCTGAGAAACAATGTCATAATAATTAATTGATCGTCTTGAATCGATGACGAAATAATCGGCTCGTATAAATTATAATATAATCAGTGACGTATTTGAGGGGGGGAGGTGATGGGGGAAATCGCCCCCCCCCCGATAATTTTTAGACCAAGATAATTTTTACATAAGTAATGGGTATTTTATTAAGAAACAAAAATTATGATTTATTTTATAGTATTACTACATTTGAAAACGTTTCAAATTGTACACTAATTTAAATAACGCAAAACGTTTAAATTGTCAATAACGGTAAACGGAAAATTTGTAAAACGTTTAAACGCTTAAATTGAATAACGTTTAAATTATTTATAGCGTTAAACGCTCAATTGCCTATACGTTTATACGTCCCATAATGATAAATAATATATATTATTTTAATTGAAGACCCAGTCCATACTTAGTGAAAAATTAGATAAAACACAATCGAAACTTTCAAAACACAGATAGGTGTTAAAAAATAACTACACAAAGGACCATTTTAAGTGGATCAGGCATTAGAAAAAAAAAAAAAAACCACAAATATTACCTGATACAAATACTACCAAAAATTTTACTTGTAAATTTTGAGCCTGAATTAAAGAAAAAATTTGAGTCCTCCCCACAAGAAGTAAATCTAAATACGATCCTGAATATAATTCCTATGCTTCCATAGAATCCGACGACGGATTGGTATTATAACGAGTTTTAGAACTTGTACCAGTCACGACACATATAAAAAATTTTGATTTTTAGATTTTCTTTTTCTCTCTCATGAATAATAATAATTGGTAATAATAAGAATTATAAAAATTGCAATAGAAATGTGTCAAATTAATTAGAAGTAACCTGTGAGGCTTACGACGGCCGTCTAATTCTCGGTGCTAATTCTCGTTTAATTCTCGGTTAAGGGCCGAACTTGGGTCCGTCCAATTCTTTACATAGATGCGTATAGTGGCGTAGTTACGGGAAGGGTGTAAGGGGTTTCCACCCTCCCCACACAAATTTTTTTTATTGATATTTGATTATTATTTATTAATATTTACATATTATAGTAAAATATTTTGATTTTACTATGATTAGGTATATATTAAAAATTGAATAACAAAATAATTTTCATTAAATACGGGACATAATAATAATACCATTTTAAATGTAATATTATTACATATGACCTCGTTTTAAGATATACTAAGAACACTTAAAAACTTACTCTTAAATAACCCCCCCCCCCAGAAAAAAATTGTATCTACGCCACTGGATGCGTAGTACGTGTGAGAGGTACCGGGTGTGCTCGGGCACTCCACGAAATGTTATAAATGGGGGCTCTAAAATTTAAGTCTAAGGAATAAGGGGTCTGTATTATAACTGATGTTGCTCAATTAAATATAATTTATTCAAATATTTTTGTTGAAAAATAAATGATATTTCGTAATAGAAAAAATAAAACAACATTTTCTATATTATTGCGTAAACACTTATGATAATATAACAACTACAATTAACTACAATAGTACAAATCAAAAATAATTGAAGCATTTTGAGAAAAATATACGATATTCAAGGAAAACTACCACAATATTAAATAAAAAATAAAGATATGTTTATTTAATTATTTATATTCATTATAATTTATTAAAATATGCTAATACTTTTTGTTTAGATAGGACCCAAAAATATTGTGAGCACCTGCTAAAATTCAGGTCTGCGCAAGCCTATGCAAATACGTTTATTATAATAGTCTCTACTTATATCGTTAAATTCGGGGCCCATGTCCCAAAAGTATAACTTATTTCTGTTTAAGTACCAACAAAGTTTTAGATTAGTTTATGCGCATTAATTTCCACTGCAACGTCAAAGGTTGGTCGTAGGTACGTGTAAAGCGTGTGCAGACTTATTAGACTTGAAGTATGATGTATTTTGAAATAAGTATATAACCTCCCCATTAGTGCATATACGGGGGTGTCAGAGAGTACTTAACACTCCTAAATTCTAAATTAGCATCCCCAGTTTATTTTGAAGTAAAAATATTGTTTTAAGAGGATTATTTTACGTTTATAAGAGTGAGTTCATTCCAGTTTGCATTGGTAATGCATCAATTCCACGGACGCAAAACAATGTACTTACGTTTTATAAGTATTTATGTAGTAGGAGTATTGGGTTTTTTGGCTTATCGTGTAACATATTTATAACGTATGTGATATTGTGACAACGGTCAAGTTTATTTTTAGTATTTATTGCTGGAATTTAGGATTTTGTTTTTGTTAACCGTTTACCGGTTTGATCGCTTATTGATAAAAATAATAATATTTATTTATACTATTTTTAGTTAAAATATAGAAAACTACTAAATTTATTATAAATCGGTGTCACTAAAAAATTTTGTACTTGGTAGTTGTACGGGGTGTAAAGGACTTTGTCCCTACGGATTACTTTAGAATGAATAATTTTAACACTCTCAAGGAATCCATTCTTCTGAACTGCATGTGTACCTATGCTTTATTATTTATAGTATAATTATTGTGTTTTATACTTATTTTATCGATTAACTATTTTGATAAATTTTCGAAAAAATTTAATGCACAGAAAACACTAATTGAAATACTTGACATCCTAAATTATTATCTTTTTTAATGTACTCGGAATTTTTAAAATTATTAATTGCAAGTACTTAAGAGAAATGAAAAGTGAACATAGCAATTTATAATTTATTTTTAAAAACAAATAAATTCTGCTAATTTGGATTTTATGTTCTCCAGCTGCATATTTATAACTACACATGCCCTGCGCACGTCATAGTACGTCGTATGTATTCTGCGGTTTGTTTTACAAACATTATACGCCACGTGAAGTTTTAGTTTTCGTGAAAGTCGGCACGAAAATACACCTACTTGTAAGATCTTAAAGTACAATATTATACATCACTCGAGGTCATAGGCGTGTAATACATTTGGGCCCTATCTTCACAAAACGTGTAGGTTTTTTTTTAATAAATTAAAATGTATTATAAAATTATTAAATAAACATAACTTTAATTTTTATTTAATATTGTCGTATATTAGTCCCAATGAATGTTTTATATGTTTTCCTTGAATCTCGTATATTTTTCTCAGATTGCTTCAATTACTTATGATTTGCATTTTTGTAGTCAATTATAGCTTGTAATAAAATGTAGTTTTATTTTTTCTATACTAAACATCGTTTATTTTTACTAAATATTTTAGAATAAGTTGCATTCAATTTGAGCAATATCAGTTAAAATATGAGCCCCTAACTCTTGGACTTAAATTGTAGAGTCCTATTTACAATATTTTGAAGATGTCCAAGCACACTAGGTACCCCCGTGTGCACCACTATTTTACTACTCCTATTACTACCTCCAACAAACGTATGACGCACCATATTTTATCGGTATAACTGTAACTTCACATACACCTTATCCGTACAGGCCCATTGTAAAGCATATATGTTCAAGTCAAAATATAAAGTTTATTGGCTTACTGAAATGTCACTATCAATACATTTTTATGATAAAAAAAAAAAAAATGGATCATAATATACGATGCAGCAATAAAGAAAAAGAAAGTCTCGCATAAAATACAAAACAAATCTTTCATTTTATTTACATAATAATATAATACAGAAATACTGTTAATAACTTATCATTATTTGATACGATATTCATTCTGACAAACATTTTTTAATATCAATAGTACAATAATAATTATTCTGTAAAAATAATTTGATTGCCGACAAGGATAAATGGTATAATCTAAAATATGTATATGTATAAACAAAAATGTGATCTATACATATGCATATTTTATCAAATGTAAAAGTAAATATTGAAAAAAATTATTTTCTTAAAAATTAATTGTGTGTATAATGAAATTAGGTTCAACCTAATACAATAATAATACTTATATATATGCAGTATTAAAAAAGACACAAGAAACTGTAAAATTATTATTTAATTTAATATGTACGCTTATGCGATTTAAATGAGATGGAATTATAAGACTTCATATTTTTTAGTAGTAAATTATGTGTAAATAAATGCTTAGACGCCAAATATATAGGAAAATTATCTGATGAAAATTAAAACAAATGTGATGTGATAACAATATTTCAGTGTATAAGACAGTCGGCAAAGAAAAACGAAAGGTTAACAATAGGAATAATTAAGAATGAGAATAATGAATAATTTACCTTAAAAAATAAATTAGTTTTCTTTTACTGTTGTATTTTTTTAAATTAAATTTTATATTAAAAAAAAAAAAATACTCACAACTGAGTTGTGGTTTTGTTTTTAAAATAATCACAATAGAATTGCAAGTAAAAAATGTTATACACTATATAGTAGTATAGTATAGTGTAGTATACGTAGAATTGTCATAAGTTATTTGATTTTTTTTTCGGTACTGTGAAGGTATTGTATTGTAAGGTACCGCAGCTAAGGGGAGATGCATAACACACCTAATTGAGCCTCATTTGGACTAAAACAGGGCCCCAAAAACAC